CAGTTCAGGCTGGAATGGGTAGGGTTGCCCCAAAAGGACTGCCCTTCCCTCCATCGGGCATGTCGGATGGGCTGGTCAGCGTGACCTAAACAGAACACTAGCTGGGTCAGGACTGGCGGCCCCTTTGGCAAGTCTCTGTTCACCTCTGGTCGAGTGTCTTGAGGGTCTGAGCCCCCAGGTGTAGTTTTCTTCTTTATTCTGTTGTGTTTTGTTTTTCTGTTTTTGGCAGCTGGCTGGTTCAGGGCTCTGAATCCTCGACCTTGGTGTTATAACACTCTGCTGTAACCAATATTTCTGGTGTGTTTTGAATTCCCGTCACTAATAGAAGCTCAGTGAACACTGAGTGAGAGAATTCATGGAGCAGACTCTCGGGAGCTCGCACGCCCGGGGCCAGGCACTCACGACCTTTGCTCCTGACGTGTCCGTCCACTCTGGGGTGTGACTATTTCTTGGGTAGTGTTTCCTGTCCCCTGTCCACGGCCAGCTCCTCCCATTAATCAGATATTGGGCTTTCAGGGTTGGTGGCCTCTCACTGTTCCATCTTTTCTTTCTTGCTCTTCCTCACTAGGCATTTTCTTTTTTTTTTAGTTATTTCAGCAGTTTCTAATGCCAGCAGTTATTGTTATTTCTAATGTCTTAGAGCATTTTCTTGTTTTCCCATCCTTTTTGTAGATTTCTCGTTTTACAGATGTAAAAAAACTTACTAAATCCTAGTAAATCGATGCCATGAAGGGTCAGAGAACTGTGGAGGCGTCTGTTTCCCGAGGGCTGGCTCCGCTGCTTCTCTTGCTTGGACCCCTCTTCCGTCTGGGGCACCTCCTCCCACACCTGGTCACCTGGCTGTCGGTTCACCTGGGTGGATGCTGTGGTTCTTCTGTGATGGATAAGTAGGGATGATGTCTTGCCTGGGTGTCTGTGGGGTGGGACTTCTGCTCGGGAGCCATGTGCGTACGTGTGCGTGCGTGTGCGTGTGCGTGCGTGTGTGTGTGCGTGTGTGCATGCGTGTGTGCGTGCGTGTGCGTGTGTGTGTGCGTGTGTGCGTGCGTGTGTGCGTGTGTGTGTGTGTGCATGTGCGTGTGTTTGCGTGTGTATGTGTGTGCGTGCGTGCGTGTGTGAGTGTGCGTGCGTGCGTGTGTGCACGTGTGCGTGTGTGTGCATGCGTATGCGCGTGTGCGTGCGTACGTGTGTGTGCGTGCGTGCGTGCGTGCGTGTGCATGCGTGCTGCAGAACAGGGCATGGGGCAGGCGTTTGCTCCAGGACAGCCCCCTGGCCTCTGCTGCAGTAGCGTGTTTCCCTGGCTGTCTCCTGTCTTGGCGTTGCCAACCCAGACCGTTCCCCAGGTTGACACCCTCCATAAATGCTCCCGCTGTGTTTGCAGCCCCCCTGAGGGACAGCTGCAGCCTCCCCAGGGTTGACAGGCAGACCCAGCCCCTGCCCCTCTGCCTTCCTTCTTCCAGAGCCTTCTGGAATGTTTCAGGATTTCTTCATCATGCCATGCCTCCTTCTTTTTTTAACCCAGAGGGTGGGATTGAGAGGAGGCAAACAGGAGGGTCAGCCTGCTGGGAACCTGCGGAAACCTTGGTCTGTCTTGCTGGCAGGGCCCTGGCAGCCATGCCATGCCTGGACAACTCGCGCGTGTGTGTGTGCATGTGCGTGTGTTTGCGTGTGTATGTGTGTGCGTGCGTGCATGCATGCGTGTGTGTGTGCGTGTGTGTGTGTGTGTGTGTGCGTGTGTGTGCGTGTGTATGTGTGTGCGTGCATGCGTGCGTGCGTGTGTGAGTGTGCGTGCGTGCGTGTGTGCGTGCGTGTGTGCACGTGTGCGTGTGTGTGCATGCGTATGCGCGTGTGCGTGCGTACGTGTGTGTGTGCGTGCGTGCGTGCGTGCGTGCGCGCGTGTGCATGCGTGCTGCAGAACAGGGCATGGGGCAGGCGTTTGCTCCAGGACAGCCCCCTGGCCTCTGCTGCAGTAGCGTGTTTCCCTGGCTGTCTCCTGTCTTGGCGTTGCCAACCCAGACCGTTCCCCAGGTTGACACCCTCCATAAATGCTCCCGCTGTGTTTGCAGCCCCCCTGAGGGACAGCTGCAGCCTCCCCAGGGTTGACAGGCAGACCCAGCCCCTGCCCCTCTGCCTTCCTTCTTCCAGAGCCTTCTGGAATGTTTCAGGATTTCTTCATCATGCCATGCCTCCTTCTTTTTTTAACCCAGAGGGTGGGATTGAGAGGAGGCAAACAGGAGGGTCAGCCTGCTGGGAACCTGCGGAAACCTTGGTCTGTCTTGCTGGCAGGGCCCTGGCAGCCATGCCATGCCTGGACAACTCCCCCATCCCCCAACATGTATCCGTCCCTGCCCCCCCCCCAAGCCAGAACTCCACCCAGCCCTGGCCTCTTCCAGCACCTGGGCCAGAGAAGTCCTCTTGGGACCCGTCCTCCTCCCAGCCAAAGGCACCACTCCACTCTGAGGTCTGTTCAGAGACTTGGCTGGCTGTGCAGGGTAGGGGCCTGGGGCCGTCCCTGGGTGTGGAGGCCTGGTCACCCCGTGTCTCTGCTTCTCAGCTTTGCCTGGTCTGAGCATCTTGGCAAGGGAGCGTCTGTATCCCGGGGAGGGCCCCTCCCTCAGCCCCCTGCCTGGGTGCCAGCAAGTGGATCTTAACCTTGGGCTGTACTGGTGGTTCCTGTCAGCGTCTTTCAACTGGGTGCAGAACAGAAAGGGGGCTTTTAGGAGTCACACGGGTGACTGTCTTCAGATTGCAGGGGGCCTCTGGGCCTGAAACAGCTCCGAGCCCCTGCAGACTGCCTTTGGGCAGAGTGGAGAGAGGGGTCCTCGCTTGGCTGCCTGCCTGCGAGCCCCAGGCTGGGCCTCTTCCTGGCACAATCCCTGGCCATCCCTCCAAGGCGGAGGGAGCCAGCGTTAAGAGCCTGGTTCTCACTTAATTTTTACCACTTCAGGAGAGGCTGATAGGAGATCCCTGAGGCGGTGGGGCACCTGGGAGGGGATGGCCCCAGCCCACCCTTGTCCATCACTGGGCTGCAGAGATGGCTGGTCTGCCTTGCAAGGGACTTGGGTGCCAGTACCACTTCAGGAGAGGCTGATAGGAGATCCCTGAGGCGGTGGGGCACCTGGGAGGGGATGGCCCCAGCCCGCCCTTGTCCATCACTGGGCTGCAGAGATGGCTGGTCTGCCTTGCAAGGGACTTGGGTGCCAGAACTGCTGGGGTTGCTTGAGGGACGATGCCTGCTTCCCTCCTCAGGCGGGGGGCCTCCATCCTCTAGCAGGTCCCCTGGGTTCTGTCTGCAGAAGGAGTGGTGGCCCCCCATGATTGGGGGGAGCACGGTGGTGGCACATGTGAACCATCTCGGGGTTCAATCAGTGTCACTGGGGAGGCGTGCTCCGCCCGGTGCAGGTGGGCAGCGTGCTGCGTGTGGGGTGGGGGCGTTGCCAGGAGCTGCAGGCATGAGGGGGCTCAACGGGGAGCCTGCACCTCCATGTCCACACGTCAGCCAGACTCGGCCGGCTGGGGAGGGGACACGGGCTCTGAACCAGTCTGTCTCTGAAGGGGGCCCGCTGGGCCTGGGTGCCCCTTGAACCAGCAACCAAACCCACCAGCCCCGCGCTCATCCCTGGTGCCCCGAGAGGAGAGGATGGCAGCCCAGCTTGGGCTGCGGTGGGAGCTCACGCCAACTGCATGCCCACAGTCCCTGAACCCCAGCCCACCCGCAAGGTGGGGACCCAAGTCGGGCCAGATGCCTTGGTGCAGCCACCCGGAGCACATGGGCCGGCTGGGCCAGGGGGCCACAAACCTCCCAACCAGGCTATGGGGAGGGGCGTAGAGCAGAGGCGTCACCCAGGATTCCTGCTGCAGCAGCCACTGGACGTAGTGATGGGGCCGTCCTGGAGAAGCCGTGCCTGGCTGCACCTACACCCACCCCTGTTGGGGTCCCTGTGCGCAGTGAACCATCTTCCCCTCCCCGGCGGGTCTTGACTCTCCTCTGTACCTGCCGTGCCACAAGGGGGGTGCCTCCACAGGGTGTCACCTCGTAACATGGCAGGGCCTGTGCAGTGTCCAGGACTGCCCGAGACCACCTGTGAAGCCGCAGCCTGCGCCAGCCCTCAGGACAGAGCCCAGGGAAGCTCTCAACGACAGTGCTGAAGGGCACAGGCCTGCGGGCTCTGGGCGCGGATCCGGGGCCTGCACCTGCTCTCATCAGGACATTTCCCCCCGCTGGGGTGGGGGCCCACCCCCAAGGCACTCCCATGCCCACGTGGGCAGCGGCCTCTGTGTTGCTGACCCACTTTTCCAAAGAGCCGGTGTGGCACCGCCTCCCCACCCTCCTCCACAGACAGCCACGCAGGAGGGGCTGCTCCATCTGTCCCCAGAGACGAGTGCCTGCTGCACTTGAAAACGGGTCACCATCAGCTGTGGCTGACGTAGCCCTGGGTGCTGGGCCACGGAGGGCCCCGTCTCTGGATATGGTCTGCTTGGTCCCAGAGGTGAAGCAGTCAGTGATGGGGGAAGGATTGTCTGTGCCAGGGACAGGGACCCCTCAGAGTGCTCCAGGCAGCGCTGTGGCTGGATGCAGGTCTCCCCCAGAAGCCCGCCTAGGGTGGGGCAAGCGAGGCCCTGCCCCTCTGCCCTGGCTCAGCAGAAGAGATGGGGCGGGGTCTTGTCAGCTGCATCAGGGCTGGGTGCGGTGGCACATCCTGCCCTGTGATGCGTCTTGCTTCCTGGAGACTGCAGGGGAGGACACTGCTGCCGGTCCCCGTCCAGTCGCCTGTATCAAGGACCAGCCAACTCGGCAGCCAGGCCCCGTGTGCCCTGCCCCCGCCCCAGGTCCTTTCCTTCCTGCTGAGGCTGGGAGCCCAGACCCTGGCTACATTCAGCACCAAGAACAGTGGCCAGCCCTCTGCCTGTGCCACCTGGCTGTCCTGCTAGACTCTGTGGTGGTCCTGGTCCTCTCCTCCATGTCCCCTCTGAACTCAGGGATGTGACGTCCCTGTGGGCAGGAGGGGCCAGGCAGGCTGCCCAGGGCAGAGCCAGGAGGAAGTGCTGGATCAGAGAACCTGCCGCGGGGAGCCCCGGGGACGAGGGGGAGGAGGCACAGGTGAGGAGACGCAGCTCACATCTCGTCCTGCAGGCGCGAGTCTTCGCAGGGTCTGCAGGGAATGAAAAGTCAGTGTGGGAGGGTGGCCGCTGCCGCAGCCTCTGTGAGCGGACTGCATCGATGGGGGCAGCAGCAACTGGGCAGGGGCCGAGGCAGGCCGGCGAGCGGGGGGAGGACGCCATCGCAAAGGCAGCACACGGCCTGGTGCACGGGGAGGGCGTGCTCTGGGGCTCCTGGTTCCCTGGGATGGGAGCGCATGGTGACAGTTACCACACGGTGCTCAGCACACCACAGCATCACATCAGCGGACTCCACGTTGGGGCCATGGCGGTGCAGAGGCTGCAGCACTGTGTCTCGAGGTTCCATGGACAGCTGCAGTGCCGTGAGGAGACCCAGCCTGCCTGTCCAGCCAGTGTCCCTAAACCAAGTGCTCCTGCCCAGGGAAGGCAGACACGAGTGAGCGCAGGGCCTGGGGCCTCCCGTCTGCACAGGACAGACAGGGCCACCTGGACTTTCGGGGCCGGGACTGTGCCTGGCATGCAGTGGATGATCCGAGCGTGTGCACTGCATGTGTGTTGATGGTGGGGACTAGGTCCTTGTGGGGTGAAGACCCAGGATGACTCTCAGGGCAGGTGGGGGCCGCTACAGTGCATTTCCACTTCATCCCTGTCAGACCCCGCAGTGGACAGTGTCAGCCACGTGAGGGACGGCCGGGCGGGCCCTGTGGTGCAGGCGCTGTGGGGACAGGTGAAGGACCTGCGGCTTCTCTGGGGGGGCTCCCACCTGCAAGACAGTCCTTCAAGGACGGGGCACAGGCAGGATGGGCTACGGTCACAGTGCCCTCCCATCTGTCCAAGCAAGCATCTCTCAGGTGCTAGGCCAGGCAGGCAGCACCTGGACCAGGTGTGGGGGGACCAAAGGGGTGAACGAGCAGGGATGTCACTAGAGGGGCGTGGCCCCCACCTGCCCCCCCATATCTGCAGCAGCCACGTGGTGGGCCAGCCGGGGAGGGACTCATGACCCCTCAGCCAAGGACAGAGTAGGGAGGGCCCAGGACAACCTGGACATTCACTGGAGGTCCACAGGACACCTTGCACAGGGCCAACCGGGCTGCCTGGAAAAGAGCAGCGGGTCCAGCTCATGGTGTCTCTGGGCAGTGGAGGGGTCTCACTTTGGGAGCAGTGGCCGCCCCAGGGGACCTGCAGAGCTGTCACATGCTCTGCTGCCCCGTCCATCAGCTCACACCCCACCGCTCCTGCCTCAGAGCCTCCACCAGGGCCTTTTTGGAAGGACCGTGACCTACAGGAAAACAGGCCCACAATGGCTGGGGAGCCTGAGGAGAGGGGCACAGCCCTGGTGGCCTGGCTGCCCTGGTCATCTGCTTGGGACCCCCTGCTGGTCTGAGGACACCAGGATCTGCCACCTGAACCCAAGACCCCCCCCCCCCCTGCCCTTGGGCTGCCCACCTGGGCCCAGCACACATGGGCCCTTCCTCTCCCAGACTGATGCACTGGCCCTTTGGGGGCAGCTGCGGGCCAGGTGGGGTCAGGAGGGCTGGCGCTGCCTGCAGAGCTGCTGAACTGGGACCTCACCCCCTCTGGAGAGCGCCCAACACACCCGGCAGTGTCCTGCCCGCCAGACCTCATTGGAAGCTGAGTGGAGGAGCCATCACGCTGCCCCAGTCCCCAGCGCCCAGCCCTCAGCCCAGGCAGGGGGAGGCCCCACACTCCTTGGGCAGCCTGGGGCCCAGGACAGGGTCTGCTCGCAGGAACCAGGTGCTGCTGGGCTCCAGAGCCTGGGGTGTGTGGGCCTCCTCTGGGATGCTCTGGGCTCTAAGACTCCTGCCATGTGGCACAGGTGGCCCCAGCATCCTCAGGCACCCTCCATGGGGACCTGGCAGGGCCCACCTCTACTCCCTGCCACAGACGTGGCACCCAGTCAGCTCAGACCCCGCCCTGGCAAGGCCCCAGGCAATCATCTGTGACACGAGGTACTTCCCCTCTGTAGATGTGAGCCTGTGTTTGTGTAAAGACAGTAATTAGAGATAAAATCACAATTGGAAAATAAGGCTCGGCGACTTGGAGGGCTGGGTAATTAAGGGCTTCTCTGCCAGAAGCTGCCCGCCCGCTTCCCGCCTGCATCCTCGAGGCGGCAGCCCAGTTAGGAGGCTCCTGAGCACGCTCCGCACTGCCTGCCACCAGGAAAGTGAGGAGGAACTGCTCAGAACCCAGCATCCAGCCCCAGAGGACCCAGCTGTGGGAGGCCAGGACACAGGGCTGAGCCAAGGAGGCTGTGCGGGGGCGTCTCCACCCTGGGCTGGGAGGGGTGTGTAGGAGTCTTCAGGGCACAGTACTGGGGAAAGGGCTTTCTGGGCAGAGGGGCAGCAGGGAAAGAAGATGGAGGCAGAGAGGGTTGGGCAGAGCTTCAGGACAGCTGCCCTGCACCCAGTTGTGCCGTGTCCTGGCCCCCCTCACCTAAGCCACTGTGAGACTCGATCACCTGAGCACGGGCAGGGGATCACTGCCCTCTGTGCATCGGTCACCGTTCAAGAGGCTAAGTGCACCCTGCAGCCCCCAGGCCCTGGCCCACAGGATGGGAGCTGGCTGTGGGGTGCATCAGACCTCCCCCATGGCGGTGGCTCCAGCCCCGGGGCAGGTGTTGGGCTTCCACATGACCCTTTGTCCTCAGCCTTTCTGAGAAGCTGCATACCAGCTAGTGACGTAGCACTGACCTTCCTCATCTGTAAGATGGGGTGAAAATGCCCTCAACAGTGCTTGGCACACGGTCAGCGCTCAGCAGGTTTGGCTATTGCAGTCAGTGGGCTCTGAATGTTCGGCTCCTGGAAGGTTGGCCCAGGGCCACCGTGAGGCCTCTCTAGTTTTGATGCCCTTTCCTTTCCTTCCCACCTTTTCCCACATGCATCTTTTGGCTCATGTCATCTGAGGGCGTGCGTGTGGGGGATGGGTGTGCATGCATGCACTGCGTGTGTGTGCACCGTGTGTGTGTCTGCGTGCACTGGGTGCCTGTCTGCATTGGGTGTGTGTGCGTGCACCGGGCATGTGTGCACTGGGTGTGTGTGCACATGTGCACTGTGCCCGTGTGCATGTGACGTCACTGCACGGGGTCCTGCTGCTCTGTAGCCAGCGTCCTCCCGTGGTGCCAGCTGGCGTGCATCTTCTGTGGTGTGGGTTCAGGTGGAGCCGCTGTTTCAGCAGCAGCTCGGTGCCCTGGGTGCTGTGCCGTCGTGACTTAACTCACATCCTGCTTGGGGGCACTGATGTCATTCCCTGCATTTTGGTAAAATGAAGAGCCGGGCTGAGCGGGCCAGAGGTCACGCCCACTCATGTCAGGCCCTTCCAGGTGCCTCCAGGGCCTTTGCCCACAGCACCCGTCGCACCTGCCTGGCCTTGCCATGAACACGTCCTGGGGGCACAGTGCCAGCTCGTGGTCCTTTGGGTCTCCCAGTCACTCCTGGGGGGCATCCTTCAGTTGCTTCTGGGTCACTCTTGTCTCTTCGTTGAAACCCTCACTGTTCCGTCTCTGGCCACGACATCCCCAGAACTGGTCCCTCGGTGCCAGTGGGTTTTTAGGAGCCCGTCCCCCTTCAGGGTGTCGCCCCAGCTTCTCCGCCCTTCGGCCTTGCTGTGGGGCCCCGTGTCTGGGCAGGCAGGGCCAGCCTGGGCTTGGGTGCAGCGTGTTGCCGAGGTGGTGGCGTTTGCAGGGCTGCGGCGCCTCCCCTCCCAGCACTGAACTGCGGACGACAGGACACCACTTGCCTCCCGCCCTCCGCTGCTCCCTCCTGTCCGGGCGGGAATCAGGAGCCCCTGTGTGGGATCAAAGGCAGCCAGCCAGAGGCCCCCACAGCAGCGACCTCCTCAGAGGCAGCCCCGCCTCAGCAAGCACCCTGCCGAGGGCGGCCTCCCCAGCCACTGGGCGCCGCATGCCTCTGTCGCCCACCCTGGCCTGCAGCTGCCAAAGGCGTCCTGGCCTGGGGAGCGACGGCTCCCTGAGACCTGAGGCTCCAGGAGGTCAAGAGCAGGTTCTGTGGCAGAAGAACGAGGCTTTGGGGCACAGAGGACCACTCAGCCATGGAGCTGTTCTGGGCAGCGACTCAGGAGCGAGCAGGACACACAGCGGCTGTGGGGGTCTGGCAGGCTTGGGGCTTGCTGGACAGGGACAGGGGTGGGATCCGGACCCTGAGGGAGGGGCCGAGGTGCCCCCGTCAGCAAAGCTGGGCAAGGTGGGCAGGCGCTGCCGCGTGGCCCCCGGTGCAGCTGAGCTGTGGCCCGCTCTCTCCTGCAGGCCTCGTGAAGCTGGGAATCCACTGTGTCACGTGTCAGAAAGTCGCCATCAAAATTGTCAACCGCGAGAAACTCAGCGAGTCCGTGCTGATGAAGGTGAGCAGCAGGCGGGCCGGGGGCCGGGGGACAGACGGGCTGGACCTCCCGAGGCCTCTGCACGTTCCTGCTGGAGCAGAAGGGGCCAGCCCCGGGCTGCCCTGTCCCCCAGGAAGGGCCGGATGAAGGAGCCGTTGCCACCTCCACCTGCGGCGGCACCGCGCACCTCTCTCCTGCCTTGAGAAACGGGCCCACGGCAGGGCAGTCCAGGTGCTGCGCTGACCTGCTGGCCTAGCTGTGTGGGCCTCACTTTCCCCAATTAGAGTTGAGAGGAGACTCTGCCGTCCTCTTCCACTTGGGACCTGGCCTCAGCTGGCCTCAGGTGGTGGGGTCTGGTCACTGTTTGGAATAGGGGCAGACCCCGCACAGGTGGAGGACGCCTGGGGTCTCAGTGGGGAGCGGCTGCCGAGGCCTCAGGGCTCCCCAGGAAAGCTTGACTGGGTAGAGGACAGGCCCACACTCCCAGAGCCTCAGTTTCCCGTTCACACTTGGCTACGGGTCGACTGGGGCCTCTACAAGTGGATGGCAAAGTGGGGCCATTGACAATGGCTGTGGCCCTTGAGCCCCCGCCCTAGAGACTGAGTGACCCCGATGCTCTCCTTGGTTCCCTCAAGGTGTGGCTAAGCCCTGCCACGAGCAGGAGCTGGGGCAGGTACGTGGGGTCGGGGAGCGTGGCCGGGTGGCAGCAGCTGAGACGTGGAGATTTGCAAGGGGGAAGCTGATGGGTAAAGCCCGCTGCGTCTTATGGATAGTTGGGTGAGCTCACCTGGGGGAGCCTGAGGTGCCCAGGGAGAGGTGGGGGCAGCTTTAGGGGGATGGCAGCTTGGATGTGGTGGGGCCTTTGTGGTGGCTGGGGTGGCTGGCAGATTTCGGGCCTGGGACGGCCGTGAACTCTCCGGCTGGGAACTTCAGAGACCGTTTCTTCCAAGTGTCCAGGCAGCTTTCCTGAAAGTGAAGCTCGGAACGAGGTGGGCAGCTCCAGGGTGCCCAGGCCACCTGCCTTCCTGGGTGGGGTGGAGTGAGGGGCTCTCATGCTGCGGGGACCACTCTTCCTCAACCCCACAGTCCAGTGTCTGCCTGGGGGTGCCTGGACTCCCACCACAGCCTCTGACCCCCACAGGACCCCTTCAGCCCCCACATCTCTACCGTCTACACCAGCCAGAGGCTCCTGAGGATAGCCCCCTGGCCCCCACAACCTGGCACCCAGATATGGTGTCAGACAACATCCAGTGAGTGCATGCAGGGGGTGACCGAGGGGAGTGACCCACTCTGCTCTCTCGCATGCAGGTGGAGCGGGAGATCGCCATCCTGAAGCTCATCGAACACCCGCACGTCCTCAAGCTGCACGACGTTTATGAAAACAAAAAATATTTGTAGGTATTGCTGGGTCTGGAGAGCTGGGGTGGCCAGAGGCGGGGGCCCTGCAGCAGGGCAGGGCAGGTGGGAGGCAGGGAGGGGACAGGCAGCCCTGCTGGTGGCACCAGGGTGAGCCAGGTGGAGAGGATCTCAGCCCAGGCCACAGTGGTCACTGCTTCCTGACTGGACCTGTGGCCTGCTCTGTTGGGGATGCACAGAGCCACCATCTTAGCACTGCCAAGGGGACAGCTTCCTGGAGGAGGGGGCTGGGGACCGGGGCAGGAGCACACAGGCCCTCTTTGTGCTGTCCCCACTGAGCCTCAAGGCTTGCCAGCCAGGGGCTCTCATTACGACACCCCCGCTCTTCCCCACTGCCGTGTGGCCCCAGATCTGGCCTCAGCAAGCTCACCTGGGAGTGGGGCAGAGCGTCACACACCAGGCCACCAGGAGGAGGGGATCAGGGCAGCCACTGCATATGGGTGGCCCTGCTGTGTGGCATCCCCTGTGCAGAGTCTAACCACACCTTCCACTTGGATGTGAAGAACAAGTCAGGAAGTGCCCAAGGGGACTCTGGAGTCCCTGATGCAGGCAGACCTCTGGCCCTGCGGTGGCCAAACTAAGTGGCCAGGTGGTCCCTGCGACGCCTGCCCTGGCCATTGGCCATTGGCTTGTTCCTAGACCGAGCGCCAGAGAGGCACCAGGCTCTGTCATGGGCAGTGGACACTAGGATGGGAAACGAGTCTCAGGGGCTGTCCTTGTAGAGGGGGCCCCAACATGCCTGGGCTCCAACTCAGCTCCTGCTGCCCCCAGCCCCTGAAAGCTGCTCAGGCTCTCCAGGCCTCAGTTTCCTCCTCTCTAACGGGTTCGGCATAGCACACATGGCCAACTTCCAGTGTCTCACTGGGGAAAGGAAAACGAAGGGCCAGTCACAGAGCTGAGGATGGGGTGGCAGGGGGAGCCCCGAGGTAAGCAGGGGTGCCTGAGAGGTGGTGGTGGTCCTGGCCCCCGACCCTGGCGAGGTTGAAGTCTGTGGCAAGAGGGCACCTCTCCCTCCCTCCCCCACTTCCATCAGCCTGGGGGGCAGGTAGAGACAGGGCTGTGCAAGCTGTTGCCCACCTCCCAGTGTCTGGTGACCTCCTGTGAATTTGGGGTGCAGGCGGGGACTGGGAGCAGCCTTGCCCACCATCCACACAACACAGAGACCAGCCAGGGCACAGCAGGGGTGAAGGCCCCAGGATGGGAACAGGGAGGAGCCTAGGAGGAGGTGGACAGTGGGCCAGGCCCTGTGCCCTCCTAGGGAGTCCCAAACCCCAGGACGGCCCAAGTGGGCCTGCACTTCAAGGTGCGGCCTCCAGGCAGCATCTGCCCCGGCCAGTGACAGCGTCCAGCACGGCTCCACTTGGCCTGTGCTGAGCCTCGGCCCCGTAGGACCAGTCCCTCCTGCCTGGAGTCCCACTCGGTGCCCCCCACCTGCTTCCCCTCAGCCACAGACGGGCCCCTTCCACCCCTGGCCTAGCCGCCCCCATGCTCCCTGCCCCGCACACCGCCCCCTTGATTCCTGAGGTCTGGGGACGGCTGGTCGCCCCACCTCAGCCCCCACCCTGTCCAGCAATGCCCCCTCCTGCTCCACGCTCTGCTCCGCCCCCACCCCCATTACTGGAGCCACACGGGCCACCACCCCCACTGGCCTCCAACAGGAGGTCGTTCAGTCTGGGCCCCTCCCGTCCAAGCTAGACATTTGGCTGCTCCCTGAGGTCCCCAACATGAGTGTTCGCATGTCCCAGTGACCTCTCCAGACGCCCTTACGTGCCCCTCACCCAGAACCGGCCCCCTCAGCTCCACCGAGCCTCTAAGACCTCACGGGGCTGGAAGCCCAGCATGGGGAGGGCACGAAGGGGATGGCAGGCCCCACCGGTCTGAACGGCTCAGCTTGGACACTGAGGTGCCCCCCATCTTGGGGAGGGACCACCCGCTACCCTGTCACCTCAGCCAGAAGCCCAGACGCTTGCCTCTCCCTGACCCCGACATTGCTGCCACCCCACCCCAGGGCCCCCACACCTCCCCCTGTGCATGGCATCCCAGGGGCTCGTGGACCCCTCAACACGGAGCTGAGCGGCCCTCTGCTGGAGTCGGTGCTGCTCATGAGCGAGGGGGCGAGGGGCACGGGGCCGCACGGGCCACGAGCTGCAGAGCGGGAGCTGGGCACAGCGTAGGCCGTGCAAAGCCGCGTGCGGGGCCCACAGGCAGGATGGACATTTGGCCTTGGTGCCGGGCACTGGTACACTCCCCGCTCGGCCTGGGCAGCCCAAGGCTGGTCAAGTTCTGCCCTCCAGATGCCCCCCTACCAACCCCACCCAGAGCTTCCTGCAAACGCCTCTGTCTTCGCAGGAGCCCAGGCCCTGCCGTTTGGAGGCCCTCCCTGCCCGCCAGGGCTCCCCAAGGGCCCAGAGCATCCAGCATGTTCTTCCTGCTCCGTGAGCCCTGCCCGGGCTGCAGGAAGGCCTGGGAGGTCCACCCTCAGTGACCCCAGGACACGGGCTCCTCCTGCTGAGAGGCCAGGGGCCAGGAGGTGGCAGCAGGAGGCACTGGGGCAGGGTGGTGGCCGGCAGCTGCGGCCAGACACACTGACGCCTCCGCCTCGCAGATACCTGGTGCTGGAACACGTGTCGGGCGGGGAGCTCTTCGACTACCTAGTGAGGAAGGGGAGGCTCACCCCCAAGGAGGCCCGCAAGTTCTTCCGGCAGATCATCTCAGCGCTCGACTTCTGCCACAGCCACTCCATATGGTGGGTGCCCCGGCCCCTGTGCTCTGCTGACTTCTCTCCGGAGGCATCACGAAGGTTTCTGCCAGGTGCCCCCACAAGGGCCTGGTGAGGCCCCTCACTTTTACAAGTGTCCAAGGGATGACAAGTTTCATCATCCAAGTGTCTGGGGGCCCCAGGTGGGCCTCAGCCCAGAGCAGGTGTCGGGGGGACCTGGCCTGACTGGCTGCCTGTGACATTGCTAGGCTGGGCTGCCATTGGCCCCATGGTGTGGATTGGAGGTTTGGGAAAGAGAAGCAGCTCTTGGGTTGGTGCATGGGGCAGAGTGACGTGGAGGGGCCCGAGTCAGCCTCTCCGGGACTTCCTCCCCAGCCACAGGGATCTGAAGCCGGAAAACCTTCTGCTGGACGAGAAGAACAACATCCGGGTTGCAGACTTTGGCATGGCATCCCTGCAGGTGGGCGACAGCCTGCTGGAGACCAGCTGTGGGTGAGTGGCACGCCCCAGCTGCTACCGGCTGCGGGACACCTTGGCACGGTGGGGCTGGCCCATCAGGAGCCAGGTGGCCACGGCTGTGGGGAAGCGGGAGAGTGTCGGGGCCTTCTCCCCCAGCCGGGCCACTGTGATGCCCCAGGGCCCCTCCAAGCCTCCTGGCCCATCTCCCGGGGACCTGGCCTCTGGTGGGGACAGATGGCAGTCAGCCCTTGGTGCAGCAGAGTCTGCAGGGGGACTTAGGTTGTGGGAGGTCAGCACGACAGCCTCCTGGGCCGTCTCAGGGTGCCCGAGCCTTGGCCTGCAGGGCCCATGGTGCACCCCCAGGGCGGGTCTTGAGGGCAGGGGCTGGTGGGATGGACGCTGCAGAGCCTGGAGGGTCCAGGCCGGGCCGGGTGTCCCCTGACTGCTGCTCTTGTCTCCAGATCCCCCCACTACGCCTGCCCGGAGGTGATCCGGGTGAGTAACCGGGGCCCCCACCTCGCCGGGGTCCCTGGGAGGAGGGCCCCACCCCCTCGGGTCTAAGGGGTGCGGCCTGAGCACGGCCGCGCCCGCCCGCCCCGACGCTGGCCCCGCCCCCAGCGCTGGCCCCGCCCATCGCGCCCGGCCCCGGCCCGCCCCCAACGCCGGCCCCGCTTCCGCAGGGGGAGAAGTACGACGGGCGCAAGGCGGACGTGTGGAGCTGCGGCGTGATCCTGTTCGCGCTGTTGGTGGTGAGCGCCCCCCGCACGCGGCCCCGCCCCTGCTGCCCGGGGGGTGCGCCCGCCCGACCGCGCT